AAACATTAACATTTCACAGAACCTTTACTGTTTCAGTAATATTTTTCAGGGGCCCAGAGGCTAAAAACTACCTCACAGTTCCATTTATTAAGTGGTTAGGTCCAGGCAATCTAATAATATTTATACCCTAACGACTTACTAGTAGCCTAAAAATAAATGCACAAGTGAAAAGAAATATTCTGTTATTAATTAAGCATAATTTTTTTTTAGTTGGAACATGTGTACCTACTAGACATTACCCAGCCTCTCAAACTTCAAGTCATTTTGCCACTGCCACCTTCATTTACTATTCTACATGGATTTTTGCAGTACTTGATCTTTAATCAGAGCAACAACCCCCAACCCAGCTTTTCAAAGACACAGTCATCAAAAGAAATGCAGCTCAATCTCATGAGTACTGCTTCAAACTGGTAAACTTCTGCAGTGTCCAACAGCTGTCAAATATTGCTGTTTCCCTCAAAAATTTTCAAATGGCCCACAGTGTTCATATAAGTTCTCTGTGGTACTCTGTGGTACTTCAGTGCACAGTTTGAGAATTCTGGGTTTAGAAACACTAATTCTAGCCTATGGACTTCTGTTTATTAAGAAATAAGACTGAAGGTCACAAAGCTAATCAAAAAATAGGGATTCTCATTGATTAATTTCAACCTTCTATCAACAAGTTTTGAAATATGATCTAATCAAGGGATACTGTTAATGAAATCGGTACATCTCTGAGAATTTATATTAAAAATACATTTATATTACCATATAAGAAAGTTCTGCATTAGGAATGGAGATGTGGCTCCAGTGATAGAGCACCTGCCTAGCAAGCATGAAGATCTGAGTTCAAAATCCAGTACCACAAAAAAAAGAAAAAGAAAAAAAAGTTCTACTTCATTATTTTCTTTAGAAAAAGAGATTCAAAAATTATAAGAGAACAACCTGCAATAAAACAATCTAAAAGTAAAGGGAAAAAAAGGAAAGTCATCACTCCCCTTAAGGATAAATCAGCTAACAGTTTTAACATGATCCTTACAGACCTTCCTTTTTTCTATTTATACACAAAACCAAAAGAAAACTAATGCTTCTCTGCCTGTCTATTTTTTATATACCAAATCATTACATAGTGCAGTACAATTATTTCTTGCACTCAATTTATATCATGCACATTATTTCATGTTACAGTACATTATAGTAACAGCAAACAGTTATGTGATACATTCTGTGCTTACTTACAGCATAAATACTGGCATAGTTCTCCCAATAGCCCTATAAGGTAAGAACTATTATATCCACTTTGTAGATGAGTTTTAAGCAACTTACTAATGGCTACAGCTAGGATATGAAAATCTGCTGTAAGGACATGCTCAGCTGCTTCCCAAGAAGTAAATTTAGACATCCCTAAACCTGTTAACAACTGCAGAGTATTTCAGAGTATAAATATACTAAAATTTTAACTATTCCTCTACCATGGACATTTAGGGGTTTTTGTTATTTATAAATGCTGTTATTTATTTGTAATAATGCTAAATGTGTTAAAATTTATGCAAGATAAACTCTGGAAAATGTTATCAGTCTATCAAAAAACACATACATTCTTAATTTGGGTGATATCAAATTTCCTCCCACAAAGTTGTTCCAATTTATAGTCCCAGTAACAGAGGAGAGGGTTGAAATTCTTTTTTTTTTTTTTTTGGGGCAGGGGGAAGTACTAGGGTTTGAACTCAAGGCTTCATGTTTGCTAGACATGTACTCTACCACTTGAGCACACCTCCAACCCCAGATTAATTTTTAAGTTAACAAATAAAAATTGATTTATGAAAATGAGACCCATTTTGAATTTTCAGTTAATACTGATATAGAATAGACTGCCCAGTCGACTTAATAATTATCTGACACATTAAACAAATGTAGACTTAGCAAGTGTATATTATGGATTCTTCTCCCAGTTATGAAACTAACAATATTAGTAAGATATTTCCCCTATATGAGCCTCTGTTTTAGGAATTGGATTAACTGGACTTTCAAATTCAAAACACCCAATGATGTGATTAAGATGTGACTTAAAGTTATTATGAGCCTATAATTATACTACTAGTATGACAGGTTAGGGTCTTAAAGCTTCTATTTTCTTTAAATTACAGTAACTACTGCTAGAGCACCTAGGCAAATCATTAAAATAGTCAATAAAGTTTTCAGGATCCTCCTGCGGCTTATTCTCAGTGGCTTTTAAATCCCAGGCCATCATTCCCCTGAAACCTAGCAAATTTGAACAGACCTCTGGAGTATGTTCCTAAGAGGTTAGGTGTGCCTACAAAACAAAGAACCAGTTTATTGTTTTGTTTTTTAAAAGTATTATACTGGAACCACTCTTTAGTCAATTAATTCAACTAATACTTATTGACTATCTTACTATCTGCTAGGAAGTGGATTCACAATAGTGAATTGAGGACCTCTGCCATCATGGAACTTACAGGCCAGATGAGAAATGCAAACCACCTAAATAATGTAAAATTACACTATGATAACAATGAACAAAAAGCAGTGCAGAAAACAACTGCAATCTTTTGATTCTTTTTTTTTTTCTTCTATCTGTGACACTAAAAATTGTCTGACAAAGGAAAAAAGTCAATAAGGAAAACTATTTCACAACTTGCACAACTATAGAATTAACTTTTTAAACCATCAGTTGTCTCTATAATAAAATTACCAAGATGTTCCTACTTTTCAGCTCTGCTACTACCGATCATGAGGCTTGAATGTTTCTTTTACATAAACCAAGAGTATAAATAATTATACCAAAGACAGAAGTGAGAAGCCAAACAAAATGAAAAACAATAAATTCTTTCCTTCTTTTTCTTTATTTCAGTGCTTGAACCCAGGGCCTTAGACATGCTGGGCAAGAGCTGTTACCACTGAGCCACACCTTCCAGTCCTCACTACAGTTTCTTAAGAACCTTGTTCAAGCAAAACGTACCAAAGGGGTAGGGTAATGGCTCAAGTGGTGGAGTGCTTGCCTAGTAAGTGAGGCCCTGGGTTCAAATCCAAAAAAAGTACAAAGAGAAGTAAAGTGATTCATTATACTAATTCATGAATTATTCATAATTAACAAATTTTTTGTTATAAAAAAACTAATGCTTTTAAAGAACTAACAATCAACATAAGAAGCAAGGGGCATGTAAAAAGGAACTAGAATAAGATTTTTTCAGTATTTTAAATATCAAATCCCAGAAGTATCTATATTGGTATTTAATTTAAAATAAAACTAATTCTAGATTATCCGCAGAAATAAGAACAGCAATCACATGAATGGTCTTGTGTGTCAGTTTCCACAACTACAAAATGAGGATATTTCCCATACATTACTAACAAGATTGGATGAAGACCAAATAAAATAATGTATGTGGAAGAACACCCAAAAAAACAAAAAAAGTCAGTTATTTCAGACAACAGCTTCTCTTTCACACTCACTAAAAGTAACAGCAATTTAACAAGTAAAAGTGGTTAGATAGGGACTTCATCTCCTTTCTCCTGCCCAAAATGTGGTAGAAGTGTTATAAAATGATTGTAAAGATTGGAAATTAGAAGGGGAAAAAAAATCCCAAACTTCATAATTCATAAATTGATTACACCAAAGAAGGTTGATTGTTCAAGTATTAACACTTACATAACACTACACACCAATATATCTCAAAAATAAAAAAAAATTCACACATGTACAAAACTGTTTACATCTATAACATCAATACAAACACAAAGTTCTGTTACTGTGAAAAGACAAGATACACATGTATTTATCCACACATACAATGTATTCTAGCTTGATGTTTATAATTTGATTAAAGTATCTTAAATTTAATGCAATGACAGTTCAGATTTATTAAGCTGAATAGTTTGTCAACTTAGCACACCAAATCTACTGCTTGTTCATGGGTTTGATGCAGCTTCCAGCATAGGTCTAACAACTAACTCCCCAAACTCACAGTTCCAATTTATGGGCAGCAATCTGCTTTGCTTAAACACAATATTTCAAATTCAGAAAAAAATTTAAATGAAGGGCAGTTTGCAGTATTTTATCACTGCTTCGACAAAACTTCCCAGGTTGTTAACAGGAGTACCCAAAATAGACTTTCCTTTAAAATCCTTAAACTACAAGCCAGGAGAAAAGGTTAACATGGCAACATTAACGACTCCTCCAAATTCAAACCAAGAGTCACCATCAAAACAATGAAGCAAGAGTACATGGATACTGACCACTATTCCTGACAAATGATTTTTTTCCCAAATGAAGGATCTGTGACTACTATCAAATCCACATTAAAAATCTCTTCCTAACTGCAAATTTAAAGGCTAGGCACATTTCAGCCCCTATCTGTGAAATTAGCTGAATATTCTTTTAGCATACTGGACTGCGTTTAAAAAGGGGGGAGGGGAGAGCGACAACTTTCAAAGCGTAAAGCTTTTTAGAGCTCCCCCTCCCCCAAATCATTTGTGAATTATAACCGGTAGACTACGTTCAGTGCCTGCTGGACTGGAGCAGATTAAAGTTTTCCCCGTATGCACTGGAGAATGTCACCCCCACCGAAAAGGAAGAGAAACTGGTCATCCCTGCCACTGAAAGCCAATGCCCCTCCCTTGGAATTTCCAAAAATACGCTCCATCTCCAAACGAAGAAGGGACATTTCTCCGGGAACCAAAGGTGCGAAGCGTCGGTCACCTCTTTGCAGACAAGGGGTGAGAGAAGGGGGCTGGGGGGAAAACTCTGGCAGGTAAGCCAGGAAATCTAGTGTCCGGTCGTCACCTGGGAAGAGGGAAGGGTGGGGGTAACCAGGTCTTAGGATGACCCTCCCCGAAAACCCTCAGGACCCAGCAGATTCCCGAGGGGAACGCCAGGCAGGACCCAGGGGCCCCGCCCCGCCTCTCTAGCCGCCACCACCCGGGGACGCGGGACCGCGGACAGTGGCAGCTGAGGCCGAGAGGGAGTCCGCTGTCTCCGCCAGATCTCCTCCTCAGCTCACCTGAGAGTGTCGCCTCCGCCCTGGGCCCCCACGGTGCATCCCGCAGGGCCTGGGGGAGGGTGCAGGGACGCCGCCCCGACCTGCCCCAGGGCTGCCCGGCCTGGCCTCCCCGCTCAGGGGACGCACCGGGTGCCCGCCTCGCACCGGCTCCCAGGATCCGCCGGTCAGCAGCCAAGGAAGGAGAGGCGGAAAGGCTGCCTCCCCTCCCCCCCGCAGCAAGTCACCCACTGGGCTGCGGTTCTCTGCAGTGCTCTCTGGCGCAGGACCGGCCCCGCGCCCCCGCCCGGGAGTCACTTCGGCAGCGGCGGCCCAGTCGCCATTACAGCCCAACAACTGACACGGAGGAGGAGCGGCGCCGGCAGCAGTGGCGGTGGTGGCGGCGCGAGGCAGGGCGGGAGCGGCCGGGCGGGGGAACTGGAGGGGGCGGGTGTTAAGGGAGGGAAGGGGCAGCAAAACCTCGCGAGAACTGTCCGGAGACGGTTCCACAGGAATGCAACCCTGGGTTAGCGCCATGTTGAGTGTGGCCAAATGGTAAGCATGAGATAAAACGAGTGAAGGAAAGGCGAGCAAGCCATGTTGAGTGTGGCGAAGTTTGAACCTGGCCGGGACTCCGGAGGAGCCAAAGTATATCCGCAGAGCCGTCACCTACCTACCCCCCTTCCTTTTGACGCTAATTGGGCCTGCTGGCGGACAAGAAAATATTCTGAAGATTTGACAAGGATGAACTCGACATCTGGGAACTGGCAGCTTTCTGAGCATTTACGATGTTTCAGCAATTGTCCAAATAAGTCGTCACTCCAATTTCAGAGTAATTGCAGCTTGCGGCTGCTGCAGTTACCCACTGCTGTCACTGTGGCCGTTTTATTTTTACCGTTCTGTTTAGCATGCACTCTGTTCTAGGATTCCACAGCAAGTACACGGAATCTTCTCCCATTAGGTACTGCCATTGGTAGTAGAGTGGTTTGAGAGACCCTCTGGGATCGGCCTTTTCTCTTGTCATTGTCTTCTTCCTCCAGTCTACCCACGGTGAATTCTATCATCTGTCAAGAGAGTTTAAAGGACATCCCTTCTGCAAACGATGCCACCTCCCATTAGGTGCTCACTGCTCTCAAGCTTTCTACTCTTCACTTTTCTTTACCTTCTAGACTCTGATGGTTATTTATCCAGAGAGTGTTCTTTTTAACTACTTTAAGGACTTTTAAGTTCTGCCTTATTTCTCTACACCCAGTAGGGCCTAGCAAGCGTGAGGCCGTGTGTGTGTGTGTGTGTGTGTGTGGGTGTGGGTGTGTAATTTAGGTTTTCCTCAGCCTTGCCAAATATGTTTTTTTGTTGAATGTATACCATCACTTTATCAAATAAGTATATTCATGTTTTTAAAAAGAAGAAATGGGTTCTAAAAATTATTCTAAATTATTTACTCAATGTTATTCTCACTAATAAAAGGAAGATAAAAGATTTAGGGTTTCTTTTAGTCCAAAGCTAACTTATGCTTTTACACCCCGGCAACAGGGAAAACACCAAAGTTTCTGTTGCCTTTTTAAGAGCAGTGTTACTCCGGTATCAGCCTCTGTTCAATTTCCATCTTTTATACTTTGTGCTGATTGTCCTCTCCCCCACTTCCTAAATACCTCAGACACATCAATGTCCTTTTGACATCCAAAACTCTTAATGTGCCAGGCGAGATTGCTCACATCTGTAATCCTACAGGAGGCAGAGATCAGGAGGATCGTGGTTCAAAACCAGCCTAGGCAAATAGTTTGTGAGACCCTATACTGGAAAAATCCATCACAAGAAAGGTGTAGGCCCTGTGTTCAAACTCCAGTACCACAAAAAAACAAACAAACAAAACCTCTTGATGTTTATACTCCACAGACTGGCCTGAATACATTAAGGTTTTTACTATTTGCACATAGTTCCTAAGTAATCTATAGAACAAGACTGGAGTCTTAGTGGAGATGTGTTAGTTACCCTTTCCACCAGTCTCCTGAGTGTTAGATACATGATATGCATTCCTCCAGCTTTTTTTCCCCTTGAGACAGGGTCTCACTATGTTGCACAGCTAATGTCAAGTTCCTGGGCTCAAGTGATCCCTCTCACCCACCTGAGTAGCTGGTACTATAGGCACACCCCACCACACCTGACTCCGTAACTTCTTTTTTTTTAATTATTCATTTATTCACATGTGCATACATTGTTTGGGTCATTTCTCCCCCTGCCCCCCTGCCCCCACCCTCTCCCTCCTACCCCCCTTGCTTCCAGGCAGAACCTGTTCTGCCCTTCTCTCTTAATTTTGTTGAAGAGAAGACATAAGCAATAATAAGAAAGATAAAGCATTTTTGCTAGTTGAGTTAAGGATAGCTATACAGAGAGATTCCTAGCATTGCTTCCATGTACAAATGTGTTAAAACCCAAGTTGATTCATCTCTAACTGATCTTTACACTGATTCCTGATCCCCTTCTTGTGTTGACCTCTGTCGCTTTAAGGTTTCTGTATTAGTTCCTCTGGAGTGGGGACATCAAACACTTTCATGTTTTGGATTTTCTGCCTATCCCCATACCTCCCATATGTGCTCTCCCCTTGTCATGTGATCCAAGTCCAACCACATGCTGTATTTGCCCTAGATCTAAAGTCCACATATGAGGGAGAACATACGACTTTTGGCTAACCTTGCTCGGGATGATGTTCTCCATTTCCATCCATTTACTTGCGAATGATAAGATTTCATTCTTCTTCATGGCTGAGTAAAATTCCATTCTGTATAAATCCACATTTTCTTGATCCATTCATCAGTAGTGGGGCATCTTGGTTGTTTCCTTAGCTTGGCTATTGTGCATAGTGCTGCAATAAACATGGGTGTGCAAGTGCCTCTGGAGTAACCTGAGTTGCATTCCTTTGGGTATATCCCTAGGAGTGGGATTGCTGAATCATATGGCAGATCTATGTTTAGATTTTTAAGAAGCCTCCATATTTTTTTCCAGAGTGGTTGCACTAGCTTGCATTCCCACCAGCAGTGTTTGAGGGTTCCTTTTTCCCCACATCCTGTAAGATACACCAAAATCGAATTTTTCTGCAAGTTATATTCTTTGTTGATTATTACAGTTTCAACCTTCACCTTTCTTTGGATAACTGGGTCTTGGCTTCAGACTAAATCTCCAATTACCTGCTATTCAGCTCTATATAGACACAGAAGTGTCTATGTGTCATCATCATCTCCAGCTCCCAAATAAAGTTTATCATTTTCCCTCTCCTCAGTCCTCCAGAGCCAGTTCCTCCTCCTCCCATTACTGTTAGTGGGCTATCACAGAACACTCTTCCTACAACTGAGAGGTTTAAAAGTTCAGGGATATTTTATACTCATAGGTATGGCTTGTTTCTACCCAATCAGTGACTGATGTTTCTAAATACCATTGTTACAAATTTCTTATGCATTCTCCTTTTGTCCACTTGCACTGCTACTCTCTTGTTTGTGCTTCCATTCCTACTACACAAATGATTGCAGTTGTCTTCCAGAAGTCAGCTTGGGTTTTTGACCCTGCCCTGCCTCTACCTGCCAAGGGCAGTAAAATTTTCTCAATAAGGCACAAGCATAGATTTCCATCTACATGAAGGCAGCTCAATAAAATAGAAAGGGCCAGGATGTGATGTCAAGAAGATTTTGGTGTTTTTAAATTAATTAATTAATTAATTTTTATTGTTGTGCTGGGTAGGGGTACTTCGTGGCATTTAAAAAGTTATTACAACATATCAAATATATCATGCTTGAATTCACACCCTCCTTCATTCTTCTTTATTCTTCCCCTCCCCCATTCCTGGAATAGTTTCAACAGTTATCATTATTCCATTTACATACATGTGTACACAGTATTGCACTATATTCACCCTCCCACACCCTTTTACATCTCCTCCCCCCTGTCACTGGTACCAACCCCCCTAGCCCAGACAGGACCTGTTCAGCCCTTCGGTTCTTCCATTTTGTAAAAGAAAAAAAGATATTTTTGTTTATTTAAGATAGCTACACAGGGAGTTTCCTTGTGATGTTTCCATGTATATACCTATTATAACTCAAATTGGCGGGCTGGTGGAGTAGCTCATGTGGTAGAGTGCCTGCCTAGCAAGCATGAGACCCTGAGTTCAAACTCCAGTGCTGCCAAAAAAAAAAAAGAAAAGCCAATTGGTTCATCGCCTCTATTTTTCTCTTTTTACTTTAGTCCCCTTCTTATGGTGATTTCAACAGGTTTAAAAATTCTATATTCGTTCTTATATAGAGAGTACATCAACTATATTTATCTTCTTCTTTTACCCTTCCTCTCTCGTATGTGACCTCCCCTTAGAGTGAGCTGTTTTTCATAATATTACTGTATTTGTATTAGGTCTGTATTTCACAGATGAGAGAAAACATGTGGTTTTTGGCTTTCCAAACCTGGCTAACTTCACTTAAGATGATTTTCTCCGGTTCCATCCATTTACCTGTGAATGACAAAATTTCATTCTTCTTTGTTGCTGAATAAAATTCAATTGTATATAAATACCACATTTTCTTAATCTATTCATCAGTAGTGGGGCATCTTGGCTATTTCTACAGTTTAACTATTGTGAATAGTGCTGCAATAAACATGGGTGTACAGGTGCCTTTATTGGAAGCTGACTTACATTCCTTCAGATATATCCCTAGGAATGGAATTGCTGGATCATCTGACAGATCTATTTTTAATTTTTTGAGGAGCCGCCATACTGTTTCCCATAGTGGCTGTGCTAATTTACATTCCCACCAACAATGTATGAAGGTTCCTTTTTTCCCACATCCTCGCCAGCATTTACTGTTTGTGTTCTTGATGGTAGCCATTCCAACAGGAGGGAGGTGGAATCTTAACATGATTTTGATTTGCATTTCCTTTATGGCCAGGGATGGTGAGCATTTCTTCATGTGTTTATTGGTCATTTGGTCTTCTTCCTTTGAAAAAGCTCTGTTTAGTTCAGTTGCCCATTTCTTCATTAGATCATTGATTTTGGGGGAGTTCAGGTTTTTGAGCTCCCTAATATTCTGGTTATTAATCTATTAGGAAGATTTTGATTCAAATCTTGACTCCATCACTTACTTGCCCATGATCCCTCAAGAATTTCCACCTTATTTTTTATGAAGCAAGGCCAATGACATCTACCCAATAGGTTTATCCTAAAGATAAAAAATATTATCAACCAAGAGCCTGGCAATCGGAATGAACAGTGGCTATTGTCACTTCCCTAAATGAGAGTGATGCATTAATTGGGAATGTTAACTTGAGCCACACTGAAATTTCAGACACAACCTGTTCAGTCCTACTTCTAAGGCTTTGTTTCCTAAACTAGAACACATATTACCCTGGTTCACACTTTCTTCCACATTCTTTTTATTTATTTTTTTGGTG